GTTTACAGTGAAATGCTAAAAGGCTGTAGATTCAAGATCAAAGGCACAATGGATCCAACATAAAATAGATTCAAAATGTCAGAGAAATATGCTTTATATAGCCCAAATATTATAACGCTTTAAGTGTTTCTTGAGAAAATATAAATAGTTCCCATAATTGTTCACATTTAAGAATAGCAAAATAGTTAGCAGAAGATGCATATGTAAAAGGATATAGCTCAATTTTTTCAAGGACAAAGAAGGTTTGTGTACACTCAAATAGAGGCAATGGGAGCTTTTAAGTTTTAAAATTTAGAACTATAACAGTCTTGCTTCATTCTCAAGTTTCCCACAGAATCAATCACATCCAAGTTTATTGGAAAGGCAACAGGTAAAGGAGGAAGAGAGTTTTTTTAAGTGATACAATCTCTGCCAATGCTCAGTATGTGTACTGAGCATTGGCAGAGATTGCATCACTAAAAAAAAACCCTCTTTGAGGGAGAGGGGCAAGAAACATTTCATCCCAAAAAGGAATTTCCTTACATTGTCAAATCACACAATTAACAGCGCAATCTTATAGCCCACTGTAATTGCCTAAATGACTCATTCTATCTGATCTATAAAGCCCTATACGCTTTGGGTCCAACCTATCTTCGAGACTGCATATCTTTCTATGAACTGGCATGGGCATTAAGATATACCAGGGAGGCCCTTCCCTCAGTCCTGCCTCTGTCTCAAGTGCGATTGGTGGGGACAAGAGAGAGGGCCTTCTTAGTGGTGGCCCCTTTCCCTTGAATGCCCTCCCGAGGGAGATCAGACTAGCCCCCATTCTTCAAGCTTTCTGTACACAATTGAAGAGGTGTATTTTTTTAATAGGCCTTCAGCTATATTCTTTTAATAAATATACATGAGGACCCTTAGATTTCACTAAGTCGGTGGTTCCCAACCTTCTTTGACCAGGGACCACTTTGACCAGGGACCACTTGACCAGGGACCACTTGACCAGGGACCACTTTGACCAGGGGTCACTTGACCAGGGACCAATCTCCAACATTAGTACCAAAAGGGTTGCAAATCAGTTTTTGGTCAACTTTAGATTCAGTTTGGGGTGCTGATTTAGAAAATTGCATTGGATAGACCACATCAGCTCTAGTTTCTGAGACAGAACATATGCCATGGTCAGCAACAGGGAAGGAGTGGCAGGCGGTATGAAAGGAGCAGAAATAAAATAAATAAAATAAATAAAGTAAAAGGAAGCTCATGGACCAAATTTTCACCCTGACCATCCACTGGTGGTCCGTGCCCCACAGGTTAAGAATCACTGCACTAAGTACATGACTGAGATTGATTATTGTTGTTTTATACCTGCAGCTATTGCTGTATTTTATTGATTTTAACCAGGGGGTTTGTGAAGTGAGATATTGATGTTGGCTATTAATGTTTTATGTTATTGTTTCTACAACGTTTGTATTTTATGTGTTTGCACCTTTGAGAGCTCTGTAAGCTGCCCCGAGTCCCTCTGGGAGATGGTTTATTTATTTGTTTATCTTGGGAGCTAAGCAGGGTCAGCATGTGGATAGGAGGACACCATCAAAAGTCAGGGACTGTAAGCTGTATTTCACAGGAAGGAACTGGCAAAACCTCCTCTGAATCTTCCTTGCCTAACAAAACCCTGTGAAAATTATGGAGTTGTTATAAGTTGATAAGTGATTTGAAGGAATACACACACACATGTCTCACTACTCAGTAAGGCTCCCCCACACCATTCCTTTAAGGCTGCAATCTGAAGCTCATATCCAAACATAGTTCTGGTGTGAGAGAATTGGCTCTCTGCAAGGACGTTGCCCAGGGGACGCCTGGACATTTTACCATCCTGTGGGAGGCTTCTCACATGTCCCTGCATGAGAAGCTGGAGCTGACAGAGGGAACTTACCCTGCTCCTGGATTCGAACCATTGATCTTTCAGCCAGCAGTCCTGCTGGCACAAGGGTTTAACCATTGTGCTCCTGGGGGCTCCAGTTCCATCTTAAGACAATGCTATTCAAATTGATAGTTGTCAGACCCTAGCAGTCTCCAGGAAAGAAAAACAGTTGAAGCCAATTGACAAGTATAGTACCAGTCCCTGGCACAACTGAAAAATAGTAATTTCTCCCCCACATGAGACAGATTGAGTAGCACTATCCTAAGCTTCCTACACAATGGGCTTGGCTGAGTCAACCTGAAAGACTTTCACTGACAGGTTAGCTCAGCTCAGGTTCCCTTCCACTGAACCACTGGAGGCTTAGAATCAGACCACTTAAACCAGATAATCCCTTTGATCCTGATGGATCGTTATCCAATATGAACAGCAGCAGCAGCTCTTTCTGCCTGAAAGTGCCATAGCAGCTGCTGGGAAGAGAAGCCGAAGTTATCTCAGTAACTAAGGCGACCGTCATTAGCACTCCTCCCACCCTCTTTTTCCCAGTGGCAACTCATCAGAGACCATTTCTCAGCCAGACTCCCTCCCTGAGGCAAATCTCCTGCCTCCCAGAGTTTGGTACCAAGTGTGTACAGAGACCCCAGTACCAAAACATCACCCTCCTGTCTTAAACTTCAGGCACCAGAATCAGCCCAATGGCCCCCAGCATTCCCTCCCATTCCTGATACTCCCATAGCTTGTGCCTCCTGGCCTCCCCGCAATCGAGCTAACATCTGCAACTTTTGTCATGCCAATTCTCACAACTTCAAGTCTCATATTGACTCATGTGAGGATTTTCTTAGGCCCCTTCCACACAGCTGAATAAAATCCCACCTTCTCTGCTTTGAATTGGAATATACGGCAGTGTGGACTCAGATAGCCCAGTTCAAAGCAGATATTGTGGGAAGAGCCCTCAGATAGGCAATGCTCTGAAGTTGTTTTGTTAGTTCCTTCTTCCAGCACTTTGTGTTTGCTACCAATTTCCCATCCAAGTACTAATCAGGGCTAACCCTGTTTAGCTTCCAAAATCAGATAGGATGTGATGCTTTTAGAATATCTCAGTGTTTTTAAATGTTGTGAAATGTTTCGTATCATAGTTTAACATGTTGCTCTTTCCTGCCTTGATTCATGGTGAGAGACAGGCAACAATATTAATACTAATGAGTATAGTTTACTACCCTTCCATATACCTTAAGTAAGAAACAGAAAGGATGTCCTCTCATGAGAAGCACATTCTCCCTAATCACAACCATCACTTCATTGATGGAGCCATGGTGGTGCAATGGGTTAAACTCTTGTGATGGCTGAACTGCTGACTTGAAGGTCGGCAGTTCAAATCTGTGAGATGGGGTGAGCGCCTGTCTGTCAGCTCCAGCTTTCCATGCCGAGACATGAGATAGGTCTCCCACAGGATGGTAAAATATCCAGGCATCCCCTGGCCAATGTCCTTGCAGACGGCCAATTCTCTCACATCAGAAGCGACTTACAGTTTTTCAAGTTGCTCCTGACACAGAAAAAAAACCCTTCACGGATGGCTTTGAACTGGGAAACTCTGAAAATAAGCCTTCACAAACTCTAGAACCTAGAATGAAAGGCACCTAGAATCAAAGGAAGCAGCCCAGAGTATTGGGGTGGGCTTTGAACTGGGAAACTCTGAAAACATCTACAAACCCCCTTCAGAGGCCCCTAGAGTCAAAAGAAGGAGCTCAGAAGGCGAGCTCCTTTCTAAACACAAATATAGATAAACCTCACTTCTTCCAAACACTCTCCCAATGTTTGACATCAGATGTGTCTGGGACTTCAGAAATCTCCCTGCACCCAATGGAGATTTTTTATTGTGTCAGGAGCAACTTGAGAAACTGCAAACCGGCTCTGGTGTGAGAGAATTGGCCATCTGCAAGGAGGATGCCTAGATGTTTTGATGTTTTACCATCCCTATGGGGAATTGGAGCTGACAGCGGGAGCTCATCTGCGCTGTCCCCAAATTCGGACCTGCAACCTGTCGGTCTTCAATCCTGCAGGCACAAAGGTTTAACCCATTGTGCCCCTGGGAGCTCAACAATGGAGATGGGACACAAGTCTCAACAAAAAACTTATTTACATCTTCTATACACCTTAGCCACACAGCCTGAATGACATTTTATGCACAATACTGTTGAGAATCTTCAGCATGAAACAAAGTTTGCAGAGGTTGAAGGCATCACAGAAAGATGTGATCACCTACAATTCCTACAATTCCATAGCATTGAGCCATGGCAGTTCAGGTGGTGTCCAACTGCATTCATTCTACAATGTAAATCAGGCATGGGCAAACTTTGGTCCTCCAGGTGTTTTGGACTTCAACTCCCACCATTCCTAACAGCCATTACTTACTTAGGCGATTCCTCATTGTCAGAGTAAGATTGCCCTCCAAGTGCGGTGGGTACGTAGATGACTGTGGAGCCCTATTCTTGACCTGCATGTTCTCCTGCAGTGAGGGCATTGGTTTCCAGGTGGAAGGCGGTCCCGGTCGGGGTTGGCTTGACTTCCTCTTGGCACGTTTCTCTCTTTCGCTCTCTATTCCTGCCTCTTTAAATTCTACAACATTGCTGGTCACAGCTGACCTCCAGCTAGAGTGCTCAAGGGCCAGGGCTTCCCAGTTCTCCTTGTCTATGCCACAGTTTTTAAGTTTGGCTTTGAGCCAACCTTAGGAATGGTGGGAGGTGAAATTCAAAACACCTGGAAGACCAAAGTTTGCCCTGCTTGGTGTAGAGAGGCACCCACACCATCCAGAACCAATTTTGGAGCCTTTGGGACTAAAGGATGCTCCACCTCTTCTCACCTCAGTCTCCCTCCCCAGATCTCTATGAAATAATAACCCCGCGTGGCGTGTAATTAGCGATTTCTCCACTCAACCCACCCGCGGGGACTGGCGCTTTAGCCAATCCCGACTTTGCCGGCAAAGGAAGGCGCGCACATTGGCGGCTCCCACAGCTTTCCACCCCGACGGCATCCCGCGTGGGCTCCCCTCCTTGGGACCCCCGCTCGCTCGCTCCTTCCCTCCCTCGCGTCCTTCCCTTCTCACCCCAGTGATGACAGCCGAGTCCCCCGCCGAGAGGAGCAGGAGGAGGAGAGGGGCGCAGCGGAGGCTCCTCATGGCGGCTGTAGCCCTCTCTCTCTCTCGGTGTGCGCGTCTCCCTGGCGCTCCCCGGGGCTCTCTCTCTCTCGCTGCCTCCTTCTTTCTCTCTCCCTGGGCGCTCGCTCAGCCTCTGCCTCCGTCCCGCGGACAGCGCTTGCCGAGCCCCCGCCGCCGTCGTTATAAAGCTCCGGGCTGCCATTCAGAGGCGAGATGAGTCACCCACCCGGTGGTGGCCCCCGGCGACGCGCGAGGGACACACTCAGGCGCAAAGAGCGGCGAGGCCGCCCCGTCCCGACGCACGTCTCTCCAGAAGCGGGGAAGCAGGAGTCCCCAGCCACGCAGGGAGAGCGAGACAGCTCAACAAGTGGCCTCGCCGTTCGACAGCGCCTTCTCTGCCAGGGCTTCTCATACTCCAGGAGTCTAAAGCCCTGAGCCATGGCAGCCCAAAGGGGCATCAGACCACTGGAATTTGACGCTTTAGAGCAGCGTTTCTCAACCTGGGGGTCGGGACGCCTGGGGGGGGGGTCACCAGGGGGTGTCAGAGGGGTCGCCAAAGACCATCAGAAAGCACAGCGGGTTGTTGTAGGTTTTTCGGGCTGTATGGCATGTTCTAGAAGCATTCTCTCCTGACGTTTCGCATGCATCTATGGCAGGCATCCTCAGAGGTTGTGAGGTCTGTTGGAAACTAGGAAAATTGGGAAATTAGGAAAACAGTCAGGGACACCTCCCAACAAAGTATTCCCTAGGCCAGGGGTCCACAAACTTTTAAAACAGAGGGCCAGGTCACAGTCCCTCAAACTGTTGGAGGGCCGGATTATAATTTGAAAAAAAAACATGAAAGAATTCCTATGCACACTGCACATATCTTATTTGTAGTGCAAAAACACTACAAACACTACAAAACACTACAAACTGCATCCCTTCCACAGTGAGACACTTGTTGAACTTGCCCTGCTGTATGGTTCAGGATTCCTGCTTCCACGCCTGTGAGCAAGCCTGCATGCTTCTCAGGAGACATGCAGAGCGCTGAAGGTTGCCCATGCCTGTACTGAAGAGTCACCCAATATTGCCAATGCAGGGAGTTGTTGATAAAGCTGGAAGAAGAAGAAGAAAAAAAACATAATGGCAAGATAACACTATGGGCCCTTCCGTACGGTGTATAACCTGGAATATCAAAGCAGACAATCCACAATATCTGCTTTGAACTGGGCTATCTGAGTCCACGCTGCCATATAATCCAGTTCAATGTGGATTTTATACAGCTGTATGGAAGGGGGTCTATCTAACACAATTTTTGTTCCTGGGTTATAAATGTCATTCCCTAATTGGATCTATCATAAAGGGTAAAGGAAAAAGTTTTTCCCTGACATTAAGTCTAATTGTGTCCGACTCTGGGGAGTGGTGGTCATCTCGATTTCTAAGCCGAAGGGCCGGCGTTGACCGCAGATGCCTCCAAGGTCATGTGGCCAACATGGCCACATGGAGCACCCTTACCTTCCAGCAGAAGTGGTACCTACTGATCTACTCACATTTGCATGTTTTTGAAGTGCAAGTTTGACTGAAGGTGGGCCTAACAGCAGGATCTCACCCCACTCTCTGGATTTGAACCGTAGACCTTTCTTTCAGCAAGTTCAGCAGCTCAGTGTTTTAACCTGCTGTGCCACTGGGGGCTCCTGGTTCTATCATAAACATGTGGAAAAAGTTTATTAAACTGCAAAAAAAAAACCCCACAAAAAACACAACACTTTTGTTTTTGTGGGATATCTTTCAGCACATTTTGCTATAGTTTTTCAATGAATATCTCATAGATTTTCTACAAAGTCAACATAGTTCGTGGCAGCTACAAAAATAAAGATTCTGGAGTATAGCAACTACTTTCAAAATAAGTAACGCACAATGAAACAGGAAAAAACACGTTCAAACCAGGGACAGAAAAATAATTCAAATTTTGTTACGTAGTGTAATGTCCTCAATTGCATGGATAGGCATTGAGACTCCAAACTGATAATGCTGGGTTTCCAAGGCCCCTTCCACACAGCTGGATAAAATCCCACAATACCTGCTTTAAACTGGAATATATGGCAGTGTGGACTCAGATAAACCAGTTCAAAGCAGTTATTGTGGGATATTCTGCCTTGATATTCTGGGTTATATTGCTATGTGGAAGGGCCCTTCGATAATCCAGTTCAAAGCAGATATTGTGGATTATCTGCCCTGATGTTCTGGATTATATGGCTGGGTGGAAGGGCTCTATGCTGACGCCCGTCTTTGTCCAGCTTTGGAGAGACCCTGTCTAGGTTGGATGAATTTCTGGGGCCTCTGTGCTTATACAATGTGACACCCCTTCAATTGCCATGGCTCAATGCTGCGGTTGTCATTTGGTGAGGCACGAACATTTTTGGCAGAGAAGACTAAAGAGCTTGTAAAGCGACACCTACCAGGATTTCCTAGCAGTGCGCCATGGCAGTTACAAGTGGTGTCAAACCGCATTCATTTTACAGTGTAGATGTGACCATGGTTAGGTGATATAGCTTGATTACCCCTTATTCCGAATGCTCCAAAAACTGTGGGTTACTGAGAGAGCGGGTGCACCCACAATTGACAAGCCGGAAAGTGTGACTCAAATGATCAACGGTCTGGAGAACAAGCCCTATGAGGAGTGGCTTAAAGAGCTGGGCATGTTTAGTTTGAAGAAGAGAAGGCTGAGAGGAGACATGATAGCCATGTATAAATGTGTGATAGGAAGTTATAGGGAGAAGGGAGCAAACTTATTTTCTGCTGCTCTGGAGACTAGGATGTGGAACAATGGCTTCAAACTACAAGAAAGGAGATTCCACCTGAACATTAGGAACATCTCTCCTGACTGTGAGAGCTGTTCAGCAGTGGAACTCTCTGCCCTAGAGTGTGGTGGAGGTTCCTTCTTTGGAGGCTTTTAAACAGAGGCTGGATGGCCATCTGTTGGGGGTGCTTTGAATGCGATTTTCCTGCTTCTTGGCAGGGGGTTGGACTGGATGGCCCACAAGGTCTCTTTCAACTCATTGATTCTATGATTCTAACTCCCAGAATTTCATAGCACTGAGTCATGGTGCTTGAAGTTGTGTCGAGCTGCATTAATTCTGCCATGGAGCTGCACTCAGTGATGCCTTTTCTGTCAGGTGGTTCAACTTGTGCAAATTTGTTTCACGTGCAACAGTCTTTGTGAGTGTGTTTCCTCATTTGGCTCTGCTGACAATGTTATGGCAGTTTCTTTGACTTTCCCAAATTGCACAGTGAGGTAATGATTGGGAAAGATTTGCAGTCTGCAGAAGTTATCTCTCTTGAGAAGGCCTCCTCTTTTCCTACTACTTTAGGTTTATGGCACGGTAGCAAATAAGGGGCGTCAAACTGTATTCTTTTGACAGTCTTGGTGCATCCTTTGTGAGACCTTTTGGGTGGCCAATTGTTAAGCTTCCCTTATGTGACTTCGGAAGCTTCTTTTCCTTGAGCACACAAATGCACCTTCCTGAGGTGACAAGAGAGTCTCAAGACAATACAGAGAGCACAGTTCTGAAGACAGGGAATTGTCGAGGAAGCCAGAAGAACAATACGCAAGACATAACAATGGCAGAACAATAAGTGTACACTGTGAAACAAAACTTGCTGCAGCAATTAACACTATGCAGATTCAGATCTCCACCCAGCTTTGGAGAGTAACTGCCTGGTTCAAGTGAGTTCTGGGCGCATCTACATTATACAGTTAATGCAGCTTAACACTATTTTAACTACCACGGCTCCTTGGTAGATAAAATAGTGGGACTTGTCCTTTGGTGAGGCAGCAAACCTTGTAAATCTACATACCCCCTGATTCCATAGCATTGAACCATGACAGCTAAAGTGTTTCATTGTTGTGAGGATGGAAGAGATGAAGGGATTTGTATACAAAAAGGTGCTGTGGGAATAGTATAGGACCGTGGTAGCACAGCGGGTTAAATCACTAGCTGCAGAAAACTTGCTGACTGGAAGGTTAGCAGTTCAAAGCTGTGGGTTGGGATAAGCTCCCACTGTTACCCCTAGCTTCTGCCAACCTAGCAGTTTGAAAACATGCAATGTGAGTAGATCAATACATACCGCCTTGGTGGGAAGGTAAAAGGTGCCCATGCAGCCATGCTGGCAAAACACAACCATAAGGGTCTATGAACAACTGGCTTCTCAACCTGGAAAAATGGAACAAGAGCACCTCCCCATGCCCAGAGTTGAGCATCGCCTCCAGATGCTGGAGATGGAAAGGGAAACCTTTGCCTTTGTTTGTGTTGTATGTCATTGTTGTTACTGTACTTTTTTAAAAAATCCAAAATGCTGCTATTTTACATAAGGAACACTTTTATTACTCCATTGTATATGATATGACTTGAACAACCATGGATTTTGATATCCTGGAACCAAAACCTAGTAGATACCAAAGGTTCACCATTCTCATAAGCTTTCACACTAAGGACATGCTTTAGTGGCAATACCTTGCAGCTAAGGTTTCAGATACACATCTCACTGTATACCTGCATGGCAGGAGGTTGGATCGGATGGCCTCTATGGTCTCTTCTGACTGTATGTTTATATGATTTCTCTGAATAAAAAGGGGAAGAAGGAAAAAAAGGTTTTTGTGGTACCATTGAGACTAAGCAATTTATTTTGACATAGAAGTGTGTGGATTGCAATCTGTTTCCTTGGATGCACTGATGAAGTAGAATATTCAAGACTCATGTATCTACAGAGTTGCAGGAGAGGGATGAAGGTGAAATACACACTAACATACAGAAACAAGTCAAATTATAACATTGGTAGAAGTTGAGCATCCTGCTCTCAGTTCCGCTCTCTTCTTCATGCAAGCTAAGCTGCTAGGGGCAAAGATTTCAATAAGGGGCCTGAACTATTTGAAATGGGCTGGGCCAAGGCTAGTGCAAGGAGAAGGGAAAAATGGGGCTGGCTGAATACTATAGTTCAAGGATCGGTCTCAGCAATGGCCCTACTAGGGGACCGGGGCCACTCAATTCCAGGGTCAATTAAAGGACTATAAAAAAGGTCTGGGCTGGAAGAAAAGGTGCCCTCAGATGACAGGGAACTGGGGAATGGATGGGGTACAAGGCCAAGTCCTAATTGTTGCACCAAGGGCTTGAGACTTGAGACTAGTCATTATCGAAGGCCTGATGAAACCACCAAGATCCTATCATACGTTCTTTCTTGCCTTTTCTCCCAAAATCATCCATTTCCAGATTTATCACATGAGCGAGTACAGTTCCCACCCACTCATT